CCTAGATGTTGTTCTGCACCCTGTGTAATAGAACTCCTCTTTTCTGTGGGGGTGTTTTCAAAATGAAAATTATGCCCTTTGTTTGCAGATAAGATTTGAAAATAACAGGGCAAATGCTAAAGTATCAGACAAGTATCATACCAGTCTTCATATCTTGGAAATTAGTTTTCTTACTCCTTTTTGATAACGAATAATTATCCCTGTACAATATAAATTAATCAGGTTGAGGGGTAGAGAAACTGATAATTGAACAATTAACTTTTGAAATTGTGGTAACTAGCAAATGACCAGCAAAATCAGGTGACTTAGGCTACTTAGTGAGTACTACTGTTCTCAGAGAAACGGGTGAAATGCTTTCTAAATGTGAAACTGGAGGTGTCCTTTTACTGAATTCTTGAGCACGTCTTAGGAGAAATTCATTGCCAATACATAGCATAATTGTGACAGCCAATTATAGTAGTAGCAAAGGCATGCATCCCCCTTGCTGCATTAAAATGAAAATGAGACAGCTCTTGCACAATTTTCTCCTTGCTCAGAAGCTGTGGCTTTTGAAATCCTAGGCATGTCTCCATTCTCCAGAAACATTATCTGAAATATGAGGCTGTAGGAAGAGTACACTTTGCCAGGGGAGGGACTGCACATGCTATTTAATCTGCATAAAGTGGGAAATTCTGTACAAGGACATTTGTCTTTTTGGTTTTTCAACTAGTTGGAAACCAAGATTTGGGAATAGTCTTGAATTTACTCTTTCAGTGCATCTCTTTGAAACAAGGGCTGATTGACACAAGTAAAGCAAATTAGAGGACAGAGAAGTTGGTGCACTGCTCCCCCCCACCCCCGCTCAAATCTGAGTTGTTTTGAAAGCATTGCTTCAAAGTACTTGACATCTAGAATGAATATTTTGATGTGAAAATTGCTTTATCCTGCTCAGCTAGCCCAGCTGTTGACCATTATAAATTGTATGCTTCTGCGCCCAGAATAGTTTTCTAAGTTAGGTGTGGTGGTCACAGATAAAAATCTGTTGCTTGTCCCCTGGTCCACTTTTCTCAGTTTCTAGTCACTAAGAAGTGCTTTCCTTTTTCTCTTGAAAGATTTCACTGTGGAATATATTCAGCGTGGTGGTTTAAGAGACCCTTTGATCTTCAAGAATTCTGATGGACTTGGAATTAAGTGAGTACAGGAGTAATGAGGTTTTGATGCTAGATTCCGTGACCAATAGTAGAATAGCTCCCAAGTCTGTAACAAAGTCCTGGAATTAGGTGGGTAGAGCCGTGTTGGTCTGAAGCAGCAGAACAGAGTTTGAGTCCAGCCGGGCACCTTTAAGACCAAGTAAGTTTTATTCTGGGCATCAGCTTTTGTGTCCTTCCTGTAGTAGCTTTGCGATAGGCTCTAGTTTGTAATTGGGATCCTGCTCCCAGGAGGTGAGTTGGATACTAAATCTTGAAAGCTGGAATTATATTCTGCCCTGTCTGCTGGCATCTTCTTTCTATTACAAAGAATCACTGTGATTTGCTTAGTCAAATGACTGTTGGATCCTCCATTATAGTAATGATCATCTGTGCATTGCAGAAGTTTAATGAAACAGTCCTTTGAGTCATGGGCATACACAATGAATTCTGTAAAAGGAAGTTGTACCCAACTGTTCTTTCAATGGGACTTAAACTACAAATCCAAATTGTTCCTTTGCTCTTCTTTTAGTATTTGGACTATGAGGCAGAATGCAGCTATAGTATGCCGGGGTAGTTTGCTCTACACATCTTCATTCCAAGTGGTGCAGCATAACTTTTTTTTCTTCTTCAAGCAAATGTACCTTGCTATCTTACACTGGCATAAGTGTAGTAATCTTTTCTCCTGGATAGGTGAAATACCAGCAGAAATACAGATGAAGAAGAGGGGACCACAGAACTTACATTGAGGGAGCCCATCCTTTTTGTATCCCCCCCCCCAGTGAACTGGCCAGTTTGTCCATCCAGCTGTAGAAATGCTACTAAGGGCTGCCTGGCTCATGCAAATTGGGGGGGGGGGTGAACAGGAGAGCAGCTCCAACTCTCTACCTGCCCACACCCAGTGCTGCCACCTCCACCTGTCTGGCACATGCTGTAATGACTCTCTTACCAACTAGGCTTGTGGTGGCAGCAGCTCCTGCTCCTCCACCTGCCCCACAGCCACCCAAAGGGGGCAAAGCACAAGAAGAGGAGGGGGGGCACACCAAGACAAAGATGAAAAAACAAAATGGTGCAGAGGGATAAGGATCTTTAATAACTGTACAACCCCCTATGCGTTTCACATGTATCTTCATCAGGGGGAATTTACTGAAATAATATGAAATAAAATAATATATTTAATTCTGTTGTTGTTCAGTCGCACAGGCGAGTCAGACTCTTCACAATCCCATGGACCACATCACGCCAGGCCCTCCTGTCTTCTGCTGTCCTCTGAAGTTGGCTCAATTTCATGTTTGTTGCATCTATGACACTGTCTAACCATCTCATCCTTTGCCATCCCCTTCTTCTATGACCTTCAATCTTTCCCAGCATCAGGGTCTTCTCCAGTGAGTGTTCCCTTCTCATTTGGTGGCCAAAGTATTTGAGCTTTAGCTTCAGGATCTGGCCTTCCAGGGAACAGTCAGGGTTGATTTCTTTTAGGATTGACTGATTGGATCTCCTTGCAGTCCAAGGGACTCTCAAGAGTCTTCTCCAACACCATAATTTGAAAGCATCTATTCTTCAGCTTTCCTTACGGTTCAACTCTCGCAGCCCTACATTACTACTGGGAATACCATTGAACATAAGAACATAAGAGAAGCTAATGTTGGATCAGGTCGATGGCCCATCTAGTCTAACACTCTGTCACACAGTGGCCAAAAATACCAGGTGCCATCAGGAGGTCCATCAGTGGGGCCAGGACACTAGAAGCCCTCCCACTGTGCCCCCCCCAAGCACCAAGAATACAGTGCATCACCTGCCCCAGCCTGTGAGTTCCTATCTATACCTTGTGGCTAATAGTCACTGATGGACCTCTGCTCCATATGTTTATCCAGTTCCCTCTTGAAGCTGTCCATGCTTGTAGCCGCCACCACCTCCTGTGGCAGTGAATTCCATGTGTTAATCACTCTTTGGGTGAAGAAGTACTTCCTTTTATCTGTTTTAACCCACGAGTTCTTGTATTATGAGAAAGGGAGAAAAGTACTTCTTTCTCGGCCTGCTCTTTGTTGTTGTTGTTGTTCAGTCGCACAGTCGAGTCCGACTCTTCGCAACCCCATGGACCAGCTCCCGCCAGGC